AACTAAACTAGCATTTGAAACATTTTTTTTTGTCTGATTCTTCAAATCGTTTCGAAAACGAATATTGACGGTTACTTTTAAAGGATGCCCTTAGTGGCATAACCAGGATAGGGCTAGTTTGAGCTTCGCCCAACACACCGGCGTCAACTTCGTCAGCTAAATTCTCCTATCAGTCCACAGACCTCAATCGCCAGACATTTAAGCGACGTTAAGCCCTATCCTGGAAACTGCAAAGTGGTCCCGGCAGGATCGGGACCGGGACTGGGACTAAAAATTTTTCATACTGGTCCTGGTAAGTTTTTTATGCAATATATTTTCACGTTTATTATCTTGACATGATTAACGATCTGTAAATCAGATATTTTTATTTGCTACTTCTATAAAAGTCTTTACTCTGTTTGCAAGAATCCGAATTTCCCAATTGTACAAGTTTTTGAATACATATAAAACAACCAACACAACACTATATACGTAAACTTAATTCGTTCATTCTTTGATCATTCCTTTATTTAAGTCTTATCAGAATCTGATAAGTACATAGATCGTAAGAACAGTTGTTCGATTTTAGAAATGAAGCCATTCCCTAGCCCTGTCACCGTCAAAATCCTAGTTACGCTACTAGATGTCCTATTGGATTTTTGTTGAAATATATTCTTGTTTTTTTTTTTGATGATCAGAAAACATATTTGAACTTTGATTAAGATATTTCTTTTTTTCAACTGAAATATTTATTTGTTTGTTTTTTTTTAATTAGAATTCTAGCTCAACTTGATTGTCTTGTATCATTTGCAATAGCTTCAGTTAATGGTAATTATATTCGACCAATATTTAGTAATGAACAACAAAAAATTCATCTTATTGATTCACGTCATCCATGTGTTGAAAAACAAGATAATATTAATTTTATTTCAAATACAATTGAATTAGATCGAAATAAACATCGATTTCAAATAATTACAGGTATAAATCTATAATTAAAAAATGTATTATTGATTTTTATATCTATTATGTTTTTTTTTTGCAGGTCCAAATATGGGCGGAAAATCAACATATATACGACAGGTAGAAAAATGAATTAAATTAAAAAAGAAAACAATATTTTTATTTTTAGGTTGGTGTTATACAATTAATGGCACAAGTTGGATGTTTTGTACCATGTACATCTTGTCATACGACTATAGTTGATTGTATTCTTGCTCGACTTGGTGCTAATGATGATTTATCTCTTGGTGTTTCAACATTTATGTCTGAAATGTTAGAAATGTCAACAATATTAGATATTGCAACAAATAATTCACTTTTAATTATTGATGAACTTGGTCGTGGAACAGTAAGTTATATTAGATTAAAAATTTTCTTAAATAATTTTTTTTTTTTGTTTTCTTTCTTCTAGTCAACTTATGATGGATTTGGTCTTGCTTGGGCTGTTGCACATTATATATGTACAACAATAAAATGTTTTTGTTTATTTGCAACACATTTTCATGAATTAACATCAATTGAAAATGAACAACCAGATATAATACAAAATTTTCATGTTGATGCATTACCAATTAATGATCAACTTATTTTACTTTATAAATTAAAATCTGGTGTATGTGATCAAAGTTTTGGGTTTGTATATTTTTAATAATATTTAAATAAAAAAAAATTTTTGTTTTTTATTTATTTAGTATTCATGTAGCACAATTAGCACAATTTCCTGAACATGTTATTGAATTTGCTAAAAAACGTGCACAAGAATTAGAAGAATTTAATAGTAATGATAATGGAAAAGAAAATATTGGACATGGATTTGCTTCAAGTGTAAAAAATGTTATATTGATATAATTCTAATTTTATTTTGTTTGTTGTTGTTTTTTTTAGGAATCAGTTGAATTAATATGGAATGAACTTGAAAAATTAAAATCGATCAATGATCAAGAACAAGCACATGAAATGGTTCTTAAACTTTTGAATAAAGCAGAAAGTGTTGGTTTACTGTGATTTCTATATAATTGTCAGATGTGTACAAAAAAAAAGAAAACAAGTCATATTATTATTATTTATTATTTTTTTTTTCGTATAATTGAAAGATTCTAATAAAAAAAAATTTATCAATCAAGAAATCAGTGAAATTTTATTCATAGATGAAAACAATGTAAAAAACAAAAACTCCGATGTAGTTTCTATTGATAATTACAGAAAGATAGTTTTATTCTATTGATTTTGATTCATATTTCTCTATAATAAAAAAAATAGAAGAGAATATGATAGTATGGAAAAGAAATTAAATAGTAAAATTTCCAAAAGTTGATTGGAGAACGTCGGAAGTTTATAAAAATCAAATAACTATTTCTATGTGTCAGCAGCTCGCGTCTCTAGTCATATATTGTAACAAAACATGATTGATGTATGATCCTTAATTGTATGTTAACGTTTATCACGACATATAACGCAAAGTAGTCCGGAGTTGAATATAGAACAACTTCTCTATTCTATCCTGTTGTCGTGTGCGAAGTGACAAGACATAAATTATAGATTTGTCCTATCCGGTGTTTAACTCAAGACAATATCTTTCATCTTTGAACACATTCGATTGTTAGTTAGAAGATAAAATCCATTTCGAAACGAAATTATTTTCTCTTTAATTTGATAATTCTCAGATTAGATTTTTAGATGTCGATAGATTAAGAAAACATAATTTTTCAAGATTAATTATTAGTTTTGCTTAAGGTTATTACAATAACTGGATTGCGTGTTTCTTTTTTTCGATATATCACAATAATTCGATTCTTTCATCATTTGAATTAGTTTTTGATTACGATCAATCATATGATATAGATAAAGCATTTCAATGAATACGACAATATATATATATATAATATTGATGAATTTTGGTTGCATAATTAACATTTATATTAAAATAAATGTATGAAAATGATAAGAAATCTTTGAACAAAAACAAACTTTTTTATATTGAAATATTTTTCATAGTAGATATATCTACATGAAATTTGAAATAAAAAAAAAAACAAAGATCTTTTGTTTGCTTTCGAGAAAGATATACTAATGCAGTACAAATTTCATATTTTATGAATTTATTTTATTTATTGTCGTACTTAATGAGTATAGATTTTGTTCAAGTACTTTCAATCCTATGAAATACTTGTGAGACAAACACTAATACTGAATGATATAAGACTTGATTGAAATAGAATTGAAAATAATTCTGAACATTGAATATATTATCGTACACAATTTTGTCCTTTTTTTCTTAAATAATTTACATCAACAGATGTTTTCTAGATTTTTTTTTTTTGTAAGTTTTTCTATAAACTTCATTATATATATATCTTATTATGAAACTGAGAAAATTATATTACGAATAGATATCTGGGTAAAAGTGACAATACGAAGGACGTTTAGGGTACGAACTAACATTTCATGATTATATCTTTTTTATGATATGATTCAAATGTATGGTATAACATCAATAGATAAATCTAGATAGATTTCATACTTTACATAAACCTCGTAAATCGTGTAAAAATAAGACCCGATAACCTCTAAAACGACCGTGAAATGACTGATTATATCAATTTGAATGGATATCTTTTTGTTTGTATCTTACATGATTTTTTTTAAAGAAATACATTCACTTTTTAGCTTATTTAACATCGAAACAAAAAAAAATTTTATTGTTATGTACATCATGTATTGTATTCGAGATAGAATTGCTATGTATTTTTCTAATTTCAAATAAATATCTTCTAGTTTGTTTATTGATTTAAAGAAAAACAATCTTCTAATAAACTTCTGATTTTTAACGTTAGAATTTAGTAAATCTATATAAAATCCTATATAAATCAATCACAAATTTTTGTTTCTTTAAATATTTTAATTATAGTCTTTTTTTTTTAATTTAGGTATAGCCTTCATATTCACACAATACTTTATGTGTGACAAAATCACACCAATAAAAGTGGTAACTTTATTTAAAATAATAATGTAACATCCCAATTCATATGAACCATGAAACCTATGGTTCATTTAACTGAAATAATATACATTACATGTTAACTGACATGTTCAATGTCATTATTTTCAATAAATGATACTTTTAATGATGATGTAATATAGTATAAAAAAAGGTCTATATATATACATGTGTATATATCACTATGATTGCCATGATACATGTCATTAATTTCACAGAAATTGTATCCTATTCAATATGTAATTTTATTCTTCGTGTACGCAAATAAACAAATTGAACTCTTTTCTCTTCTTTCTCTTTCTCTTTTTTTTTTGTATTCATATCATACACTAATAATAGTTTTTCATACGAACAAGCGTTGATATAAAGATCATGACAGTAAAATGGACAAAAAAGTTCAACGGTTCACTGAACATGACAATAGAGTAGACCAATAGTTTATTTTATAGTTTGTGTCTCCCCATTGATAGCTACGATCATTCGACGTAGAGAAGAATGAACACGAGTGAGATAGGAAGAAAAAAAGAAATAGTTTGAACCTGTTTGTGTGATAATCGATGGGGCGCATCTCCAGCTTAGACAAATATTTGTATAAGCATATTTTTATCTACGTATTTAAAATTGAGACAAGTAGGAGGAGAGCGAAGATCTGTGTCTCGTCTACTATTTATTGTAGAAAAGAAAAAAAAAATGATGAGATGTCTTTGCTCATCTATGTGTGACCGTTTAATATTATCTTATCTATCTCTTTGTTATATTTCGTTTTATTTTTTCTTTTTCTTTTTTTTGCTTGTTTAAAGTTAGCAAAGCAACAATTGGATTGATCGAACGCGTTGATTGATCATTAATACGTCTCGACATTATCATTTGTGTTACGTTATATCATTTGAATGAAATAATCTTAACAATATATTGCATATTACGATACACATGAACAATTTTGTTGATATTCAAATTCATAATTTTCTAATAAGAATTGTTTTATTTTGTTAAACAAAATAAACGATTAACAATCAATACAATGTATCAACATATGATATTAACACGAATATTATTTTCTATTGGTGTAGGATTTCTTATATTTAGTCTTGTATTTGGTTGGGTATCATTTTCTGTACCTGATTGGCTTCAATATTATGAACGAAATAAATTAACAGATAATATATTATCAAATGAAAATTTTGTTAGTTTAAAAAAATTAGGTTTATGGTATAAATGTATATTTGTAACTGATTCAAATGATTTTACTTGTACATTATGGAATAATGATGCTCCAAGTACAATTTTGAATTATTGTTTATTTATTTATTTTTTTTAATGATGATTATTATATTTTTAAATAGGTTTTGTTCGTGTTGCACAAGTACTTGTACCATTTGGATTAATATTAGGTTCTTTATCACTTCTATCAACTTGTATTGGTTTTATGTGTAGACAAGCATTAATTTCTATTATGATTTTTGCATCATTATTTGCATTTTTAAGTTGTAAGTACAGAATTGAATAAATTCAATTGATTCAAAATAATAATGAGTATCTTTTGATAGATCAATTGATAATATAAAAACCATTAAAATCTCGTTAATATACTTTATGATATTAATGATATTTCTCTATATATTCATATACTTATGTTGGTTGTTGATATTATTTCCTTTTTCAATTAAGACAATATTCATTTTGATGAGTAATAGAATGGTTTAGTTTTTCAGACTTTCGTTTGTGCCCAGTTTGAAGTCGAAACACTCAAATGATCTAACGGAAACCACAACTTGTGGTTCACAAGTCCAGTAAAACTTTGATATCTCGAGAATGAACTAGACTTTATTAAATGAATATTGTCTTACGAGGGAACATTCCCAAGTGTCCCATCGTTTTTGAGTTCGGTCTCTATGCATAAGGTAGATCCCAGTGACGTATGAAAAACCCTAGAAGAATAAGTGCCTTTAGGCCTTCTGTCTAGAGTTATAGGCATTTTACCGAAATTTTAGCCTTTGGCATGGTAAATACCGACAAATCAAATGATGGTATTTCGACCTAAGATTTTGCCCACAAATAGATCTATTTGTGAGTAGAATACGCTGAAAATTTTAGCTCAAAAGAATGTTTTATTCCTGAGATATTAAAGTCCCAAAAATCAATAATATCCCACGAAAGGTGCTAGAATTTACTGTTTTTTGGGACTTTAATATCTCAGGAATAAAACATTCATTTGAGCTGAAATTTTCAGGATATTTTACTCACAAATAGATCTATCTGTGAACAAAATCTCAGGTCGAAATACAGTCATTCGATTTATCAATATATACCATGCCAAAGGCTAAAATTTCGATAAAATGCCTATAACTCTAGACAGAAGGCCTAATGGCACTTATTCTTCTGGGGTTTTTCATACATCACTGGGATCTACCTTATGCATAGAGTCCGAACTCAAAAACGATGGAACACTTGGGAATGTTCCCTCGTTAGTCGAAAAGTAAATTGACATATTGAAAAAGTTCTCTTCTCAGATCATAGACATAAATCAGAAGTATTCAGATGAGCTTCTGAAACATATGAATATACATACAACAAACAATATCAAAAATACATAAGAATTAAAATAATTCAGTACAATAATATTTCGATCATTTATTTAATTTATTTATTTATATTCTAGTTATATTTACAACCATTGGTGTAACAGTATTTGCTACAGAATCATTAGTATTTGTTGGACGTTTACAAGTAGATAATAATGATAGTCCTCGTCGTTGGGGCATGTGGTTATTAATTCCAAATGTTGTATTATCTTTTTTAACTTCAGTATGTTTTATTACTGCATCATTACTTAATTGGTGTGATTATCGAAGTATGGAAGTTACAGGAATTCTTAGTCATAGTGTTGATAAATATAATGGTAGTGTTTATAAAGCACCATCAGAGAGGTTAGTTTTTATTTAAAAAATAAAAATTAATTATAATTTCTGTTTTTTATTTAAATAGTAATACGACATCAGCTGTGAAACAACAATATCCACATCATGATTATCCTAATACTTGTTATCAAATAAATGGTTTAAATAATAATCAACCAAATCCAATGGGTTATCCACCACCACCAAGTTATGGTGCTTTAGTTAATCCAGCATATCAACCAACTCCTCCTGGTATATTTGGATATTCAAGATCAGGTAGTCCAACAATGAATCAAATGTATCCACATACAAATGTAAGTTATAAACGATAAAACAAAAAAAAAAAAAATTTAATGTCTATTTATAATATTTTTAGTTTGATCCTTATTATCCTCGATATCATATGAACGAAGTATATATTTTTCTATTGATTCACATATTATATTATTAAGAAAAAAATTTCTTATTTTAGACCTTAGAAATGGATGAATTATCTCGTATGGGTCGTTCACATCGTCGTTCTCGTTCTCGTCGTCAATCAAGTCATCGTTCAAGATCAAATAGTCCAGATGAAAGTACAGTTATTGATGATAATAATAATCAGAAACAAACTCAATTTATTCCAATACCTGTTCCTTACTATCATCCTCAACAAGTACCATCATCACAAACAACTAAAATGCAAATACCAATTGCATCAACAAATAATAATCAACCAGCTATATCATATATTGTTCCACAACCAAAACAACAATATGTAGAAGATACTATTCAACCTAATGTAAGAAAATTTTTTTGTAACATGATCTAAAAATGAATGTTGAGATTTACGGGGAAAAAACTTGAATTCTCATATATATTGTGATAGATGTTCGATAGAAAGAAAAAAACTCTTCTCTTTTAACCTACGATAAACTAGCATATTGAATAACTTCTAGCTAGCTGCTTTTTTTTGTCAAATGACATTAGGTCTAATGATTAGTTCTATCTAAAAACTAAATCCAAATGAAAATAGCTTTCGAATATGTTTTTTCGAAAGATTTTATTAAAAATTCATCTGATTGTTGATTAATTGTTAATAGAGTTTATTCAATAAATAGTAAAGCATATTATATTCTTTCCTTGTTGAAAAATAATGAATAGCTTCTTTTTTTTTTTTATTTAGACAAAAACGACTAATATGTTAAAATTTGGTGGTGTACAACCACCAGTAATATTATCCAATCCAACTCAACCTGTTTATACAATAGCTTATCGAGCAAATAATGGTAATAATATGCTTGCACCAAATATTTTAACTGGACCAGCAGCTGCAACATATGTTACAGCAACACGAAATCAAATAGCTGAAATAACCTCATTGACTAATGAATCGGATAAAGACGAAGATCTAAATTATCAAACTATTCCAATATTAAAAAATTCGAAAAAGGTTTTATATTAAATCCATCTTTGTTATTATTATTATTATTGTTTTTCTTTTTAATGTTTAGATAAATATAAAGGAAGCATGGACATGGCGTAAACTTTAATAAAACTGTTCAATGTATTTTCTTGTTATTTCAATACTTTCTTGTTTTTTTGTCTCTTTTTTTGTTTTAGTATTCTGTTTGTATTAATTTGTTTTTGTCGTAGAATAGATGAATATGTGTATACAAAAAAAAAAAATTTGTACTCCTCATATGACATGATGTTATAGACAAGCAGGAATTTTCTATTCTTTTACTTTGATCAAATAAAAAGATAGAAAAAGATGGTTTTTATAATTTGTTTTCTTCTAATGTATCTTACTTCGAATATTTGATCAGAACATTTTTATATAAGATTTCTTAAGTCTTTAAAAACCTTACTTATATCGATGGTTGTGCGTATTTCATTAAGAAGTGATAAGAGTGCGGGTGTGGGTAAGAGGCTCCATTGCACTCAGACTCATACCCACATCCACACTTACCCATAACGTGTAGTCTCATTTTGTCAGACGAGCTTACAGTTTATTCTTTAACAAAAGAATATGTAATAAATAAATATTTATATAAATACTAGACACAATTCGATAAACATCCAGAAATTTCTACAGGATCACATTATTTGCTGCGCAAATTCTTGACAAACATTGTTACTTTAGCATCGGCATGTGTAGAAATGATAAATTTTTGAATCATTTATCTAGGAGAGTAGATTATTTGAAATTTTCAAATCACTTCATAGCAGTATGCGTAGTTTAAAAATGTGATATTTCTAGCATATTTTGTTTTGGAAGCTGTGCGAGATAATGCATGAAACATGCTTTCGAGAAACTTCTATTGCAAAAAGTCCCTTGAAAATTCAAAAAATATTACATTTGAAACTCTGTTTATAGTGAAAGAGCAAGAGTTTTGATCAAATATGCATTCCGAGAACAATACCAATCAAGAATTCACTTGTGTCAGATAAACGTCGATGTCATCTGTCAGTTATCAGTAAATACGAGCTTGTACATTAACAGAGTGCAAGTCTAGGTAAACAAACTCAGGTGAGACCGACAATTTCGAAACATGTTATCAACAAATATTCGGTTCAACGTTTGTGTCATCTAAGAAATCATGTGTGTCAGATAAAAACCAATAAGATATATTGATTGTCACTAAATTGGATCTTTTTCATCAAAGGGTGGAAGTTTAGGTGATCGAAGACTAGGGTGTGGGTTGTGAGTATCCAGTTAAGATTACACCGACCTCCACATCTATACTTCACACTCATTCTATCAATAATCCAATTGATTTATATTCAATGCAACTCGTCTGTAAACAATAGTATACAGTTGTAAGTGATGAAATCTTTTGGCAAGGTTTATACGCTTCACGTTATGGAACATATTCTAGTCAAATTAATTATATTCAAAATTGGAAAATTTTATATATTTTGAGATTCGAAAAAAAATTTGAGAATGATAATAACAAGTTCGATCGATTTATCAATGCTACATTACAAGTAAAGCAATATACAGCAAATGATATTTTACAATTATAGGGAAAATGTAACACATCAAAATCAATCGAAGAAAGTAGTACTAATGCCTAAAACTAATAACATTCTATTAAATTCATCTTATTATCAAGTAGACAAAACATCAAGCCATTATCTTGTTCCATTGATTATGATTAGATTAGAAGATGAATGTTCTTGATTAACAGTATATTTTAACCTATGTGTCAGATACAGTGGTACTTCTCGTTTTTACAAATCATATGGAACAATTGTCTATTCAATATGAATTGGATGCTAATCAATTGCGTTTAATGACATTGTTAGATTCAGAATTATTCAAATTTCATACAGAAAAAATGGAATTATACATTTACACCATCGACATATCTTGGACAAACTCCAAATGGTATGTCTGCTCAGTATTCATCAGAGCTCTCATTCGTTATGTTGATTCATCCTGATCATCGAGTACAATTTATCAAATATCTAAAAAATCTTGAGAGCTGTTGTTTGCGATCAATTCCACTCAGTGAATATTACGAAATTTTAAAATATAAATCAATCATGAACAATATCTTTGGATTTTTTTGTGCTATCATTAAATTTTAGCCTAGAAAAGACTCATAAACTGTAAAAAAAAATCACAACTAGATGAAATAATTTCAACGTTCTATCTTCCATCCAATGTAAAACAATTAAATAGGATGTGGGTGTTGCTGAAGAAAAGATTCACACCCACACCCACACTTTCTGCAATGAATGATCTAGTGCTTAAAACGTTTAGGTTGTTTCTAAACTATCATCCAGTCATAGTACAAACGATGTGTTTCAAAAGTGTGCTGCTACATCAGCACTAACTGATGAATTTCTAATAAAAAAAAAACCGATTTTGAGGACAATTCTTTTTGGACTGAGGTGGACCTTATCCAGAAAGAAAAATTGCATGATCTCTTGAGCAATATCTAGAATTTTCTTTGAAAAAAGTCTTTTCAAGAGTTTTCTTCCTATATTTCTATAAATTCATGGGATTGACATGTGCTTTATCATACGAAGCAGTTGCAGCCTACCAGTAGATGTTACGCCTTTAAAAACAATATTCCTACGAATAAAATATCAACAAAACATGTTTTTGGTAGAAAATATATGGAACTTTGTTCAAGCATTAATTTATAACAAATCTTCTATAATTATATCTTTGAATATAATCTCTTTCATCTAATTTCAAATGTATGAACTATTCAAAAAGAGTTCAATATATTTCATTGTTATTGTTAATCTTATTAAAGCAATTTAATCTGTTGTCACATAAGAAAAGTCCATATTATTACATTGGGGCACATAAAGAAAATTTGGATGTGAGTGTTAATGTCTCTGGATAGACATGCACACAAAAGTAGGACAGTTTTATTAAGAAGTTAGCCTCCATGGAAAAAGTTGTTTTAGAAAGAATAAATATCGTTCGAATGGGTTATCGAAATGACATATTTATTTTATTCCGTTTGTTTTCCCAATGCAGCAAATGCATTCCACAGAAAGAAAAACGTGCAAATTTAATTAAGATTTTATGAGCATGGTATACAATAAACTCATCTGTGTATAGAGATGAAGCCTTCTGAAGCAGACTAAATTTTTTTTTGTTAATGAATGAGAGAGTGCAAAAAAACACACGATCAAATTTGCTAGATGGATAGATGTCGCATGTTAACGGACACGCAAAAATACAATTTTATACTAAGAATTATTTTAAAACATGACCAAAACATGAATATGAGTGCTAAAATACAAAAAAACCATCATCTGAATCTAAGATAAGCATTAACCAATAAAATACTAGTTGGAAAACTCATAGTTTGTACATGAGTAATGTTCTCTGCTCTTGATTATTTTCATCACTCGACTTCAAATGCTGAGTAAAATTACTTATAATAATCATATATCGTTGTTTTTATTAGAAAAATTATACCTTAGTATTCTCGTAAGATAAAGTTACTAAACACAATATTGATTAGAAAAGGAGAGAAGTACCACTATTATTTTATCTTCTCAATAACATAAATTGCACGTATTTGTAGGAGTCAGCAGCCTATTCACATTTCCTTTTTGTTTTTTTCTTTCGAGTCATCTTATTGCTTATTTTTTTTTATTCTATAAGTAACATGTAAAAATTGAATTCTTTTAGATTTGTAATACTATTGAATATAACACATGACTACACAACCTTTTGATTCTGCACACTCAATAGCAGCATCAAATGGGCATGTACTGGAACAATCAGTTTTTCAACAGCCACCCAACTCTTCAGGTTTCCAAGTTTCGACTGTTTTAAAGTATTGATAGTTTGTTTTTTTACTCAACTACACTCGAAACTTTTGTTTTTTTTTTGTATTTTATAGAAGACACGAAGATCGTATTAAACTTGGTCAATTCGATTATTTGAGTGATTGTATGGAATTCATAGCTAAAAGTTGTCTTATTCAAAATCATCATAGCTTTGAAATGAGACGTATCTTAGGCGGTATATCAAAAACTATGAATGATGATCAATTACCATGGTTACTTGATGGTTATGCAGAGTTATTTGAGGCTAACATCAACCTTATTCAATTTGATGATGACTCAGAAATTGATTATAATGAAATTCTTAAATTTCTTAATTATTCAGATAATAAAGTGCAATCTGTTTATCCAAATTTTATCGTTATAATGCGTCAAACAAGAAAAAACTTATTTGCACCATTATATATCACTGCTACTAATGGTTCCCTACAGACGTCTTTTCCGATAAATGATAAAGGTATCATTAAAGATATTTATCGTTTTTTTCAAGAAGGAAATTTCCGAAGTAAGTTTACATAATAATATCAAATATATTCTTGATTTTTTTGTTTTTTGAATTTGTTAAGAATCTGAAAATTTATCATCAGAAATGTGCAACCTTAGTAGCAACAATCAAGGTATAGAAAATACTCAAAATCCTTCTAGTATGAACATTGTTGAAATTCAAATTCCTTCAGAATCAAGTAGATATTTCTATTCAAATAATATATTCTGATATTGATATATACATATATTTTACAGCTTGTGAAAAGAATATGATGATGACAACTATGGATGTAATTGAAAATTATCTTCAACTTATTCCACAACTTATTAAAAATTCTGATATTTCACTGGATCATATTCCCATTTCAATATGTAAGATAATAACACCCACATCTGCTATAGATTCAACATTGAATGATTTTATTCAATTGTCTAATGATGATACAATCAAAATAGTAGCAGATATGTTCGATTCAATTTTGAAACTTCTTCGATGTGCTAAAAATCCTTCTCATAGTAAACATTTGTCTAGAAAAATCTTTTTTAATTCTTATCTTTTTGTATTTACACAGTGGAAGAAATTGAAACAAGTTCATTGATAGATACTCATAGCAATCAGAATTCCTTCGGTAAATCTAAAGAGAAAAAAAAAATAGAACTTTTCACATATTATTCATATGATATTATTTAGTGTCAAATAATACAACAAATATTCAATCTTCAAAAAGAATTCGTACCGATCAATCTCCATCGAGTGAAACCGAATCATTTACTAATTCAAAACGTCTAGCAACATCTAAAAATAATCAAAAAGATAACATACTAATATCAAACTATGATCCTCCAGAAATTTTAAGACAACCTGCTCGATATCAACATGTTCGCATGTTGAGTGATCTTAAGAAACATCCAACTCAGATGATTAAAGGAGGTAGTCAAGATGCTCGACAACGAACTCATGTTATGGTTAAAGTAAATAATATGATATTCATTTCAAAAAACTATTTTCATTATTTCAATTGAAGGTACCTAAAAACGATGATATCAAAGAACTTTATCTTCGTGTTAGATCTGTTACAGTGAACAAGAATAAACATCTTTTCAAAACTGTGATCCCGCAGAAACCATCGACTAATAAATCATCAACTAGTAGTAGTGACGATGGAAATTGTTTACAATTGAAGAAGAATTATGTCGATGAAAAGGATGACTGTACATATCTTCTGATTGATAGTAAAGAACGCAATACAGGCAAAAAAGAGTAGGTTTTCATTCATATATATATATATATATTCAGTGACAGAGTTAGCAGAAATTCAAAATTTTATAGAGAAAATTGAACTTTCTCTGCATCTATTTCTTAAAATTGTAATTTCAGAATATTAGCCCATTTGATTACTTTGAAACAGCAAGGAACTAAAGAAGAAGATTTATTCAAAGAGGAAAATATTCATAATGTATGTAAACTTGAATTTTGTTTCTGTATGCGGTTGAATTCAGGTAAATATAAACCTGTTTCAAATGTTGTGTATTCAACAGTTATTGAAGATGGTAAAAGTTTATTTTAGTTTGAAATACTACTATAAATTTCATATGAATCTATTTTAGGCGATGGTCCAGTTAAAATTGATTCACATATAGATTTAGCACAAAAATTATGTGAACGAGGTGGTCAGATTATAAATTTTGGTTTAAGTGTTGAATGTCTTAAGAAAGGTAGGATTGAAAATGAATCATTTAACCATATTTTTGTAGGTTTTTCTATTTTATGCAATGATACAAAACTCAATAAACAAAAATTCAAAATTAACGGAAAGAATTTATCAATCATTACACCTCAACAAACATCAACTAGTTCAAATCTTCGTTTAATCATTTCAAGAGCAGAATATGAAGATGAAGAAGAAAGATTAATAGAAAAAATACTTTATACACATACTTTTGAATATGTGTCACATGATAGTAATGATGATTTTATAGAATAAGATATTTAACTAAAATTTTCTTTAGATCAGTCTTCACACATCTGTGATCAACAAATTTGTTTTTTTAAAAGTAACAATTCAACTTCATGAACAATTTCAAAAAATCGTTTTTAACTATAAAATTTCTTTTATTAGATTATAAAAATATTATCATCGTAAAAAAATAGTAAAAATTAATCTAGTTGAAATTTTTCTCATTCTTTTACGTTTCTCTAATTGTTAACTAAAAGTCAAATAATTTTTTGTTATGCTATATCATTTGTATTTTCAATATATTTTGCTTTTTCCAATACATTGATTAAAAAAACAGTTTTATCTTTTCTAGATCTAACAAAAGAATAATGAATCATTTTATTATATCTAATACTAATGCATTATTTGATTGTACATGTTTTGAAGAAATATTTGTTGTTTATATCTGTCTGTTCATCAATAGATATTTTTCTTGAAAAAAAAAGGCTGAGAGAGAAAACATTTCTTTAAAAAATGCAGGTCTGAATAATAGATCAGTGTTCGATATGCCCCTGAACAATTAATAATTTTTTGTTTGAATTTAGGAAAGTTTTCTAGACTTGATGTAACTTTCTGCAACTTAGACTTAAGTTTCTCTGTAAAATTCTTGTTTGAATATATTCAAAAATATAATATTCATGTATTTATTTTAAGTAAATAAACAAATATTGATAATATCTGAAAATATTATTTTATTTTGATTCAGTTTGCACTACGTCTTTTTTTTTTAATCACATGCTTTCAAATTTAATTGCGAACATTTTATTTTCCGAACAATATTCGAACACGTACAATAATGAAATTGAATATTCATTTGCGTGTACTTGATGACTTACTTGAATTCTATCACTATTTTATTATTATGTTCAGTCATCTTGTCTATAGAAAAGATAAAATAATTGCGACGGAGAAAATTCGAAGTCGAAAAATCTTATTTCGATAGTAGACTAAAGAAAATAGATCATTTGTACTATAAATATAGTGTGTTAACGAGAGTTTCTTTTCTAATATCTATTTCTCTTTCACTACTCGAATCAAACATAAACGAATAAATATAAATTACTTTAAAATTTCGTTTATATTCTATCAAATAGGTTGTTATTAATATGCCACCTAAACAAACACCAGCAGCAACAGCTGCTGCTGCAAAAGCAGCAAATAAATGCAATCCTGATCATACAGAATACCAAGGTCATCAGCCTGGTTATCCTGGTAAAGGCACTAAAGCTGATTTAGTCAATCATGCCAAACAATTGAATCCGAACAATTCACTATTTCAACCTAAGGGACAGAAGTGATTCAAAAACATTATGTAAAAATGTTGTTTTTTTCTGTGTAATTTATTCAAGCATATGTTGTTTTTTTTTTGAAAATAAACATCTTCGTTAATACTCAACAGAAATGAAATTAGATTAATGAAGTTTATGACTGTACCTAGTCAAGAAAAAAAAAATAAAGCCTAATTAGAGACTTGCATGAAAATAATTCAGACAAATACATTTCAATTGTTCGAATGATAATTTCTGTTTTTCTTTTTTCTATACATCGAATAAATCGCATGTATTCTTGCCTGAAAATCTTGAATAATTTTTATTTCTTATCTTGTTAAAAATAAAGGAAGTTATTAGCGGTTTATTTAAAACATATTCTTACAAATGAAGTAGTATATTTCGAAGGTAAAAATTTTTCTGAACTTGATATTAAAACTAGTAAAATATAAAAATCGTATTTTCTTATGTGTGGTAGTAGATCAAACATGAAAAACAACTGAAAATTAGACAGTGAATACCTTGTTTTTTTTTTCAAGTGAAAGCATTAGAACAGTACTTGAAATGTGAAAAATGTCGGAATTAGTAATGGAGACGTATGGATATTTTCTCGGTCAGAAAAATTAAAAAATCCAACAGTGAAACTCGAATCAAATGTTTATTATAGAAAATGAAAAACAAAAAGTTTGTAATACTGTTCTTGATCTGTTTTCCCACTTCGATGTACAAGAAGACCATTGAAGTATGATATTATATGCACATTTTTCTTCTGCTTGCATAAGATTTATCGAATTCCGTATAATATGAAAATTTTTCTATTATGGTAACCTGCAGCTATGGAGCATCTTCTTTTTCACTACACCTACACCTCAAAATCTTATTGGAAAATATCAAAGTTTTCAAAAAAGAAAATCTTCACGACTGTAGCTTTTTCAATATTTTTTTCTCAGTAATTTACTAAAACCTAGTGTTCGCAATGTTCTCGAAGTTCATGCCCTACATAATTCAATACGTTTTTGTCGTTGTTCTTCTTCTTCTCAATGTAATTCAAGTATTGTTTGAAATCTTTCTTCATTCATACCAAGCTTTTTTTGCTAATGCAGATATTGCATAAATTTTTCATGTTTTTTTAAGTACTTTTATAAATAAGTTTAGTTTGCATTGATTCGGCAGTTTTTCATTGACTAGCTATAGAATCATTCAGAATCTAATTTATAATTTTTCAGAACATCAAGCTCTTCTTGTGTTACACCTCTATAGAAATCGAAGGATTTATTGATTTGATTTCAAAAAAATAAAATATAATATCACGTCTAATGATATTTCCTTTGGATGATCTGTCTTTATATTGAAAAGAATTATCATATATTCATTGCGTTATTAATTAAACAACTGGTAGTCGAGGCATTTCGAAATAAGCGAAATCAGCTGTATGATTTGGAATATAAAAATAATTGTGATTCGTTTCTTTTTTGTTTTTTTTTTTGATTAATCATTTGTGACGAAGTAACTGAACGTAGTAAATATATCCCGTGACACGAAGGAGAAAAAGAAAGGTATCGTGCAAATAAACATGTAAAAGATGCTTGGTTTATTAATTTCAGCACGAGCCAACGATTAGGTGATGGTAATGAGAGTTATATAAATGTTAGATAACAGCAAAGAAAGAGATATAAAGATAATGATGATCAAATACGAATACAGAAGAGATATGATGGAAATGAAATATGGTTTTATTATTATATGAAATGATAGTCCATTGGAAATCTTATTATGGATGTGGAAAGGTAATGATCCGAACTTTATATTAAAAATAGTTCAATTATAGAAAACAACTTTGATGCAAAAGAATAAATAATTTACTTTAACAATACCACAATATC